TTGTTGAACTAATAATATTAAAGTGGCAGTTAACTGACATTCTTTACCCGTGAATACGCTGGTATCTAATAAAGTGTGACTGATCAGAACAAGTGTAACTATAAGAGTTGTATAAGAACATTCCTGGCAATTTTAGAGTTTCTGTCCTGTGTGAGTACGTTGGTGTCTGATAAGACTTGATTTAATTGAGCAGGTATATGAACATTGGTTACACTTGTAGGGTTTTTCTCCCGTGTGAGTCCTCATATGCGCTGTGAGATGACCTTTCTGAGCACAAGAATATGAACATTCGTTACACGTGTAGGGTTTCTCTCCTGTGTGAGTACGTTGGTGTCTGTTAAGATTTGATTGATCAGAGCAAGTATATGAACATTCCTTACACTTGTAGGGTTTCTCTCCGGTGTGAGTCCTCATATGCGCTGTGAGCGGACTTTTCTGAGCACTAAAAAATGAACATTGGTTACACTTGTAGGGTTTCTCTCCCGTGTGAGTCCTCATATGCGCTGTGAGATGACCTTTCTGAGCACAAGAATATAAACATTCCTTACACTTGTAGGGTTTCTCTCCTGTGTGAGTACGTTGGTGTCTGTTAAGATTTGATTTAACAGAGCAAGTATATGAACATTCCTTACACTTGTAGGGTTTCTCTCCCGTGTGAGTCCTCATATGCGCTGTGAGCGAACCTTTCTGAGCACAAGAATATGAACATTCGTTACACGTGTAGGGTTTCTCTCCCGTGTGAATACTCAAATGTTTCACAAGATTACTGTTCTCAGTACAGGTATAAGAACAATCGTCACATTTTAAAGCTTTCCCAACAGAAGTATTTTCTTTGCCAAACCTGTCTGATGATCGTAAAGAATTTAATTGGACATTTGTAGTAGACATATCATTGATTGTTTCACCATGATGTTCTCTGATATGTTCCACAAAAAACTCATCATAAAGGAAGTGAGCTTCACATTTCGGACAAATAAAACCATGTGATATTCCAGTCAACTCCTCCTGTTCAGTTTTTATTTCCTTTTTGATCGGAATTAATTTGTTGTTACTCTTTTCTTTATCAGCAGCTGTTGAGGATCTTTTACTCCGTGTTAACATGACAAACGTTCCTGGATAAATAACGGATTAATAAAATAAAAATACACAAACTTTCCAAATTCAAATAACTAAATCTTTAATTACCAGTGGGTATAAATAAATGGAATATTATTAAATAATTATAATCACACCACGCTTAGACATCTATATTCTATCTGATTCATCCTTTGACATGTTTAAGTGTAGTTTGTCGAACTTTCTTGCTCTGATACCGGACAACCCTCCGGTCGCCGGCTACAGCTGCAGTTGGTCAAACTCACTGGTCGACTACTCGCCATCCAGGTGGTCAGATATCTGATGACCCTTCCGGCTCCACGGATGAACTCAACGAAGTAACGAAGTAAGTATCATGCAGCTATAACTCAGTTAATAAATGTCATATCATAGTCATATAATAGAAATAACAAATAATATAGATTGTGGAAAAACGATAAATTTACTAATTTTTACTGTCGAGACAAGACAAAATCAGTGGGGTTCAATTAATGGTTAGATAATAGATATATATCAAAGATTATGATTATTTCCTAATATATTTGTGTAACAAACTGCAAAATTCTTTTATTTAAATCAGAAAAATTCATTTCAAACATAGCTCTAAACAATAAGTTTCGAAGGAAGGGGGGTGGAGTCCTTATTGCAGTCAAGACTGGCATCAGTATTGAAAATGACAAGATTGATGTCAGCTCTAGGGCTGAAATGATCTCAGTCAGCCTAAAATCAAACAACACATGCTACTGCATAACTGCCTGCTATAGAGTTGGCACCCTTGGTGAAAATAATTTTAATGAAATTGAGAAACACCTCAGAAATGTGGTAGGACGGAGAAAGTTTAAGGCCCACTTTGTAGTTGGGGACTTCAATCTACCTGAAGTTAACTGGTCAGACGGTGTGTCCCCCACACTTCTTGGTGGCCGTTTTATAGATCTGTTTAATGACCTAGGCTTAACACAAATGATAAACCAACCCACTCATGATAAAGGGAAGGTCCTCGATCTTCTCTTCTGTAATATGATAAGTGTTGTTGAAAATTTGGCGGTCCTGGGGAAAAATGAGATATGCTCCTCAGATCACTTTGGAATAACTTTTAGTGCTAAAATGAAGTTTAGAAAGAAGGTCATCAAACGAAAAATCTTGAATTACAAAAAAGCAGACTGGATCGGCCTGAACAATGATCTGAAATCAGTTAGATGGGATGATCACCTTAACTGTGATGCAGAAACAGGATGGTTCCGTTTTAAGAAAATCCTGTTCCATCACATACACAACCGAATCCCAACTATTACGATATCAGATAAGGATCAGCCACCCTGGTTTGACTCTGACACTTATCAGCTGTGTCTCAAAAAAGAAAAACTACGAGTCAAATCTAAAAGATCATGCCTAGCTGAGGACTATGAAAAGTTCTCACAATGTAGAAAAGATTTTCAAAATTTGGTCGACCAAAAAATGATATCAAATTTGAATGATGATGAATTGATGATCCAGCTCTTATATCAAAGAAATTCTGGAAACATGTCAAATCGACATCAAAATCTTCTCGCATACCAGGAACAGTAAACTATAACGGCAGATTTAGAAACAATCACTTAGACCAAGCTGAAATGTTCAATGAATATTTTGCTGCACAGTTTTCCGAAGCGAGTAACTATGATGTTGATATTGATTATAGTAATGACTCAGTAAACGACATTGAGTTCAGTACCAGCAGAATCCGAAAAATTCTAAAAGATGTCAATGTTAATAAAGCTGCTGGTCCAGATGGTATCCATGGCAAAATTTTAAAGAACTGTAGAGATAGTATTGCATACCCACTCTCGAGCCTTTTTAAAATCTCTTATAATATAGGTCAGATACCATCTGAATGGAAATTTGCTAACGTAGTACCTGTGCATAAGAAAGGCCCCAAAACTTTAGTTGAAAATTATCGGCCAATCTCTCTCACAAGCCTTACAATGAAAATTTTGAAAAATAGTGAGAGATGAACTGTTGGCAAAATGCCAGCATAAAATACATGACAACCAGCATGGTTTTCTTCCTCAGAGGTCTTGTACTACACAAATGGTCGGGTATATAGACTGTCTTTCACTGTCTATTAACGATAATATCAGAACTGATGTGGTATACTTTGACTTTGCCAAGGCCTTTGACTCAGTTAACCATGATGTCATCCTAGAGAAATTAAAATCGGAATTTGAAATTGATGGTACACTGTTGAAGTTTATTATGAACTATCTCAAAGACCGCAAACAGTGTGTTATTATTGGGGGATCCCAATCAGAACAAAAGAATGTCCAATCAGGAGTTCCCCAAGGCTCCATTTTAGGACCTCTGTTTTTTGTACTCTTTATTAATGACATGTCAGAATGCGTAAGTGAAGGTACAAAAATTGCCCTGTACGCTGATGACACCAAAATATGGCGTAAAATTGTGGGCTGGAGAGACCATGAGATCCTACAAGCAGATATAGATGCCCTGCATTGCTGGGCAGTAAGAAACAAAATGAAGTTTCATCCCAATAAATGTAAGGTACTCTCTATATCAAGCAAATTGAGCGAAAAAGGAATTTTGAGTTTTTTCCCCTTTCAGCTCTTTGTCTACACCCTAGATGGAACGGCACTAGACTTCGTCCAGAGTGAAAAAGACCTTGGGGTCTTTGTTAGAACAGACCTTAAGTGGGAGGAGAACATAGTCAACCTTTGTACGAAAGCTAGTTCTCGTCTAGGTCTAATGAAAAGAACTCTACGGTTTATTAACGACCGTAAACAAAAACGGGCATTCTATCTAGCGCTGGTTAGGAGCCTTTTCGAAAATTGCAGTGTTGTCTGGAGACCAACAAGTGTTGTCTTGAATAACAAAGTTGAAAACATTCAGCGCAGAGCAGTTAAGTGGATCCTTGGCGAATAGGATCATCACTATAATGACTTAGAATATTTGGCTCGTTTAAGAGAGCCAGACATGTTGCCAATGGAGCTGAAGTTTGAATACACAGACTTACTATTATTCCATCAGATATACAATGGTCAATCTGTTTTGAAGCTCCCACCTTATTTAACCCCGATAACAACCAGTGAACAGGGTAGGTTGCGTTCAAACATAAAGCAACCCTCGAGATATAATGAAGTTGATACATCTCAAATGCCTGATATCAACCAGAGGCGACAGAACAGACACGACCACCTTTCCCTGAAGTGTACTGTGGAAGCAAAAGCTCACTCCTTTAAGAGAAGCTTCTTCTTCAGAACACACAGTGTCTGGAATGACCTACCAACTGACCTTAAAGAGATAAGTGATGCCAGAACTTTTAAGGCAAACCTGGCAAAACACTTTTGGGACAAACTGACAGACCCTGACTAAGTTAATGAGTGCAAATGATATTTATATGTGGGCCCCCGCCACTGATAGATCGGTCACGATACTGAATATAACAACTATAATATAAAAATAAATCTATTAAATAACATTTACGTTCTGTCGCCATGATTTGACCCTGGTGCAGTCCTCAGTTAATATACTTAACTGGATTACGCAAACTTTATATCCGACTGTAATCTTGCTTTTAAGCGCTGTGTGATGATACGCGCGCAATTTTTGGCGCATTATGAGTCAAGTCATGGATACATTATGCATTTATTTTGATAATTCTAAATTTGCGTGTTTTAGATACATTTTGTGTGTTTAGATGGAGGTGGTGTTAGTGAGTCTGGGAGTAGAACTATTACTTGTAATACGTATACCCCCAGAACTTGTACCACTTAACCATGCTTTTAGTATTTATACAATATGGACTACAACTTTTACCCAACAAATGCCTCATGATAATAATGTCGTATATTTTCAATTCTCTTTGCTGTATTGTATAATGTACTATTTGTAAAAGTTTCAAATCAAATCATTTGTGGAGATTATTTCTAGACTATAAATGCAATCATTGATCATAACTCGTTGTTGAACTAATAATATAAAAGTGGAAGTTAACTGACATTCTTTATCCGTGAATACGCTGATATCTAATAAAGTGTGACTGATCAGAACAAGTATAAAAGTTGTTATATGAGAATATTCCTGGCAATTTTAGAGTTTCTCTCCCGTGTGAGTACGTTGATGTCTGACAAGACTTGATTTATCAGAGCAAGTATATGAACATTCCTTACACTTGTAGGGTTTCTCTCCCGTGTGAGTCTTCATATGTCTTTTGAGATCACCTTTCCGAGCACTACAATATGAACATTCCTTACACTTGTAGGGTTTCTCTCCCGTGTGAGTACGTTGGTGCATAATAAGATTTGATTGATCAGAGCAAGTATATGAACATTCCTTACACTTGTAGGGTTTCTCTCCCGTGTGAGTCTTCATATGTCTCTTGAGATCACCTTTCTGAGCACTACAATATGAACATTCCTTGCACTTGTAGGGTTTCTCTCCCGTGTGAGTCTTCATATGTCTCTTGAGATCACCTTTCTGAGCACTACAATATGAACATTCCTTACACTTGTAGGGTTTCTCTCCCGTGTGAATACGTTGGTGTCTGACAAGACTTGATTTAAAAGAGCAAGTAAATGAACATTCCTTACACTTGTAGGGTTTCTCTCCCGTGTGAATACGTTGGTGTTGGACAAGACTTGATTTAACAGAGCAAGCAAATGAACATTCCTTGCACTTGAAGGGTTTCTCTCCCGTGTGAGTCCTTATTAAATGTAATGTGAGTCGACTTTTCTGAGCACTACGAAATGAACATTGGTTACACTTGTAGGGTTTCTCTCCCGTGTGAATACCCAAATGTTTCACAAGATCACTGTTCTCAGTACAGGTATAAGAACAATCGTCACATTTAAAAGCTTTCCCAACAGAAGTATTTTCTTTGCCAAACCTGTCTGATGATCGTAAAGAATTTATTTTTAATTGGACATTTGTAGTAGACATTTCATTGATTGTTTCACCATGATGTTCTCTGATATGTTCCACAAAAAACTCATCATAAAGGAAGTGAGCTTCACATTTCGGACAAATAAAACCATGTGATATTCCAGTCAACTCCTCATGTTCAGTTTTTATTTCCTTTTTGATCGGAATTAAATTTTTGTTACTCTTTTCTTTATCAGCAGCTGTTGAGGATCTTTTACTCAGTGTTAACATGACAAACTTTCCTGGATAAATAACTGATTAATAAAATAAAAATACACAAACTTTCTAAATTCGAATAACTAAATCTTTAATTACCAGTGGGTATAAATAAATGGAATTTATTATTAAATTATAATAATTAGACCCCCTCGGCCCTCAGATATCTATATTATATCAGTACCATGCAGCTATAACTCAGTTAATAAATGTCATATCATAGTCATATAATAGAAATAACAAATAATATAGATTGTGGAAACAACGATAAATTTACTAATTTTTACTGTCGAGACAAGACAAAATCAGTGGGGTTCAATTAATGGTTAGATAATAGATATATATCAAAGATTATGATTAATTCCTCATATATTTGTGTAACAAACTGCAAAATTCTCTTATTTAAATCAAAAAAAATTCATTTCAAACATAGCTCTAAACATTTGTGGAGATTATTTCTAGACTATAAATGCAATCATTGATCATAACTCGTTGTTGAACTAATAATATAAAAGTGGAAGTTAACTGACATTCTTTATCCGTGAATACGCTGATATCTAATAAAGTGTGACTGATCAGAACAAGTATAAAAGTTGTTATATGAGAATATTCCTGGCAATTTTAGAGTTTCTCTCCCGTGTGAGTACGTTGGTGCATAATAAGATTTGATTGATCAGAGCAAGTATATGAACATTCCTTACACTTGTAGGGTTTCTCTCCCGTGTGAGTCTTCATATGTCTCTTGAGATCACCTTTCTGAGCACTACAATATGAACATTCCTTGCACTTGTAGGGTTTCTCTCCCGTGTGAGTACGTTGGTGTATAATAAGACTTGATTTAACAGAGCAAGTATATGAACATTCCTTACACGTGTAGGGTTTCTCTCCCGTGTGAGTCCTCATATGCGCTGTGAGACGACCTTTCTGAGCACAAGAATATGAACATTCCTTACACTTGTAGGGTTTCTCTCCGGTGTGAGTCCTCATATGCGCTGTGAGCGGACTTTTCTGAGCACTAAAAAATGAACATTGGTTACACTTGTAGGGTTTCTCTCCCGTGTGAGTCCTCATATGCGCTGTGAGATGACCTTTCTGAGCACAAGAATATGAACATTCGTTACACGTGTAGGGTTTCTCTCCTGTGTGAGTACGTTGGTGTCTGTTAAGATTTGATTTAACAGAGCAAGTATATGAACATTCCTTACACTTGTAGGGTTTCTCTCCCGTGTGAGTCCTCATATGCGCTGTGAGCGAACCTTTCTGAGCACAAGAATATGAACATTCGTTACACGTGTAGGATTTCTCTCCCGTGTGAATACCCAAATGTTTCACAAGATCACTTTTCTCAGTACATGTATAAGAACAATCGCCACATTTAAAATCACTCTCAACAGGAGAAGTACTTTCTTTGCCCAACCTGTCTGATGATCGTAAAGAATTTAATTGGACATTTGTAGTAGACATATCATTGATTGTTTCACCATGATGTTCTCTGATATGTTCCACAAAGAACTCATCATAAAGGAAGTGAGCTTTACATTTCGGACAAATAAAACCATATTTCAGCCAACTCCTCCTGTTCAGTTTTTATTTCCTTTTTGATCGGAATTAAATTTGTGTTACTCTTTTCTTTATCAGCAGCTGTTGAGGATCTTTTACTCCGTGTTAACATGACAAACGTTCCTGCATTAGTAACGTCATGACGTAATATTAATTTGTACTATGTATCTAAGGCATGCTTGTATTGCGCTATCTCATATGTAATTGCTCTGTGAAAGTTTGGAATCCCCATCTACTTCCTACGCCACGATACAGCTGAATTAAGAAAGTGATGCGTCACGTAGAACGTTCCTATGATCAAAGGGACTGCCCTCTCAGTACTGTGTAAACACACTATTTAGCAGACGTAATCGTCCAAGTAGTTCGATTTTTATACGGTTTGCTTCGGCTTTCGGATTGATTTTTGTTTGATACTTACTATTTATCGAAAGAAACAATGGAAATTGCACGTTTTTTTGTATAAATAAGCATGTGAGTATACATAAATCAGTCTAGTCCTATGATTTCATTCTAGACTTCCTTTCTCTTATCATGGTAACTTTGTCAGGAAGCTCGGTTCCATGGAAGGTTTTAGGCACTTCTTTTTTGACATATCGAGTTTGGGTAAAGTCACATTTTACCAATATTGCAAAATGAAGAGTTTCATGACATGAGCTTAGATCCACAGTTGGCTGTTAGCGACCATGAAAGCGATGAAGAGCTAAGCATCGTAGGTTTCAACGAATATGACACGGATGATGATGAAATGGGTGCGGTGAACAAAGAAGCTAAGCCTTTACGAAGATTGAAGCAAGACCCAAGGGAGTGGTGCACTTGCGAAAACTGCTCCGTCATGGAATCGGAAATGGAGAGCTACTGTTGCAGGGAAAGCACACTGATTGCTGACACAGTTATAGGGCTATCAGAGAAAACCTGCGTTACTCTGGTTAAAATTTTTAGGAAAACGATTGAAGACGAGGATATCTTGAAACTTCAAGCAACTAGTCTACAAGATGTCAAGAGGAACGTTGACGGCACCATTCGGCCCGAGGGTTTACGATACACTGCCTACACAACCTTCTTACAAATGTGCTCTTTGAGGTTTTGTGGCAAGGGGAGGAGATATGTTTTGCCATCATGTGTAGTGAAACGAATCAGAAATCTCTACCCATCCCCAGCCGGAAAATACAAAGACTTCTTACCGGGAGCAATTTACTCGCGGATTTAGAGCGTTTTAATGGATGTTTTATGGTTTTAAAGTCTGTTTTATGTCAAATACCGATGTAAAACTTTCTCATACCATTATGTTCAATAATAATTGAAAAATGGTTACTCCTCCCCCTCCTCCTCCTCCCCCTCCTCCTTATCCTCCTCCCCCTCTTCTTCCTCCCCCTCCCCCCTTCTCCTCATCCTCCTCCTCAGTCCTCTTCCTCCTCCTCCTCAGCAGTCCTCCTTCTCCTCATTCCTCCTCCGCCTCCTTCTCCTTAGTCCTCCTTCTCCTCAGTCCTCCTCCTCAGCAGTCCTCAGTCCTCCTCATCCTCCTCCTCCTCCTCCTCCTCCTCCTCCTCCTCCTCCTCCTCCTCATCAGTCCTCCTCCTCCTCAGCAGTCCTCAGTCCTCCTTCTCCTCAGTCCTCCTTCTCCTCCTCCTCCTCTACTCCTCCTCTACTCCTCCTCATCCTCATCAGTCCTCTTCCTCCTCCTCCTCAGTCCTCCTCCTCCTCATCCTCCTCATCCTCAGTCCTCCTCCTCCTCTACTCCTCCTCCTCCTCCTCCTCCTCATCAGTCATCCTCCTCCTCTTCCTAAGTCCTCCTCTACTCCTCCTCCTCCCCCTCCTCCTCCTCCTCCTCAGTAGTCCTCAGTCCTCATTCATCCTCTACTCCTCCTCCTCCTCCTCTTCCTCCTCCTCCTCCTCCTCCTCCTCCTCCTCCTCCTCCTCCTCCTCCTCCTCCTCCTCATCAGCCCTCCTCCTCCCCGGTACTCATCCTCCTCTTCAGCTCCTACTCAGACCTCCTCCTCCTCCTCATCTTCCTCCTCATTAGTCCTCCTCCTCATCAGTCCTCCGAGTCCTCCTGAGTCCTCCCGAGTCCTCCTCCTGAGTCCTCCTCCATCCCCAGCCGGAAAATACAAAGACTTCTTACCGGGAGCAATTTACTCGCGGATTTAGAGCGTTTTAATGGATGTTTTATGGTTTTAAAGTCTGTTTTTTGTCAAATACCGATGTAAAACTTTTCATACAACTGTTCAATAATAATTTAACGATCCAAAAATTACAAAATGAAATATAGAGCCTTCTAACGAACGGAAAAAAGAAGACAAACATCACATAAACACTGTACTGAGAGGGAACATCATTCCAAACTAGGAACATTCTGCGTGCAGCGAGAAATTTAGTGTGCGTGATATCTCCATTTGTGTGTAAGCTAGAAATTCCGTTCTTTGATCATATTAGAGTATGCGAGGCCTAGGTTAATGTAACATGTACAAAAAATACTTTGCCAAAAGTGAAAAACTCCATTACGTCATTAAATAAAAATACACGAACTTTCTAAATTCGAATAACTAAATCTTTAATTACCAGTGGGTATAAATAAATGGAATTTATTATTAAATTATAATAATTAGACCCCCTCAGATATCTATATTATATCAGTACCATGTAGCTTTAATGCAGTTAAAAAATGTCATATTATAGTCATATTACAAAAATAACAAATAATATAGATTGTGGAAACAACGATAAATTTACTAATTTCTACTATTGAGACTTGAGACAAAATCAATGGGATTCAATTAATGGTTAGATAATAGATATATATCAAAGATTATGATTAATTCCTCATATATTTGTGTAACAAACTGCAAAATTCTTTTATTGAAATCAGAAAAATTCATTTCAAACATAGCTCTCAACATTTGTGGAGATTATTTCTAGACTATAAATGCAATCATTGATCATAACTCGTTGTTGAACTAATAATATAAAAGTGGAAGTAAACTGACATTCTTTACCCGTGAATACGCTGGTATCTAATAAAGTGTGACTGATCAGAACAAGTATAAAAGTTGTCATATGAGAACATTCCTGGCAATTTTAGAGTTTCTCTTTCCCCTGTGAGTCCGTTGGTGTCTGACCATATGTGATTTATCAGAGCAAGTATATGGACATTCCTTACACTTGTAGGGTTTCTCTCCCGTGTGAGTCCTCATATGTAATGTGAGCGAACCTTTCTTAGCACTACAATATGAACATTCCTTACACTTGTGGGGTTTCTCTCCCGTGTGAGTATGTTGGTGTCTGACATGACTTGATTTATCAGAGCAAGTATATGAACATTCCTTACACTTGTAGGGTTTCTCTCCCGTGTGAGTCCTCATATGTTTCTTGATATCACCTTTCTGAGCGCTACAATATGAACATTCCTTACACTTGTAGGATTTCTCTCTCGTGTGAGAACGTTGGTGTATAATAAGACTTGATTTATCAGAGCAAGTATATGAACATTCCTTACACTTGTATGGTTTTTCTCCCGTGTGAGTCCTTATATGTTTCTTGAGATCACTTTTCTGAGCACTACAATATGAACATTCCTTACACTTGTAGGGTTTCTCTCCTGTGTGAGTCTTCATATGGTCATTGTAAAGTTTGCTTTGCCCAAATTTGACTGCCAAAATTGGTACAATTTGACCGGTTGAGCTATTTAGTGAGCTAGCATGCCACCTGGTGTTCACCCTTTGTTAATATTTCACCCAGATGGAAACAAATGTTCACTGGACACTTTAACATGTAATCTATATGTGTTACTCAGCCAATGTGGAGCATATCAGTGCTTCAAAGTGACATTTTTAAACTTTTTGCAATCTCGTTGGTAACTGAATCTGGCAGTCAAAACAGGTTGAGACTCTCAGAAAAAGGTCCCATCTACACAGAAAGCCCCGGTTGAGACAACTTTTAATGCTCAGCCTGTGTGGAGCAGTAGCTTGAAAGTTAGGCAATTTTCAAGACCAAAAATCATACTCTAAACAGTCAAGTTTTTGGTTGAAACTCTATGAACTTATTAGCTGAAACCCCTCTCAAGAGTTTCTGACTATTTTCGATAACACACCATGTCTCAACCGACGTGGAGCGAGGTTTTGGCAATGTAGAAATTTGTAAATTTTTAATTTATTAGCTTTTCATAATGCTTTTGTTTAGATCTGTAAGATTTTTTTAGCTTGGTAACTCTTACTAACTCTATTTTGAGTACTGAAACGGATATTTATATTCAGTAAACTTCTCTCAACCCTGTGGAGCCCAAAATGGTTAAAAATTTGCCAACTTTTAAATTCTTTCTGGGTTGAGATAAAGTGACTTCTGTGATTTACATCTTGACTCCTGTATCTATATTTTCACCGTTGATGCAGACTCTTTAGTCGAGAACAGCCTATCTTAACCATGTGGAGCAAAAAGAGGTCTTCCTTTTGATCAATCGAGACAACTTTTAAGTGCTTCATGGGATATTATTTTTATTCATTCTAGAGAAAATATGTTATAATATTGGTGGTCAATAAACTTACTTCACGGGAACTATTCAGTGCTCAACCTGTGTGGAGCAGAGATGATTTCTGTTGTATTAGATTTTCGAAGCTCACTACTTCATTCTACAGCCGCATGCAAGAGAGATCTTCATCAAATGTTAGGCAGTTGAGGAATCCCGTACATGACATGTCATTTCTAGCTCTGCTCCACTCTGGCTGAACAGTTCTGGAACATCAATCATGGCAAGAAAAGTAATTAAAGTATATCAGTAAACTTTAAATTGCATTACGTACAAATTGGCTACAGATCGACCATCATGGAGACTCTTTTTACCGTAGAAAAGCCTGTTGCTCCTCACGGTTGAGCATATTGTCTTTTTCTATGGTGGCATATTTCTCTTTAAAGGACACAGTACTACATACATCAACAGCTTCTTAAGTATTGATGATATCATTCCTCCTTTATCCTAATATAACAACACTGATCCTTACAAATAGTTGTGTTATCAATCTATCATTCCATTCTGCTCCTCTCTGGTTGAGCCTATTAAATACAATTTTTCAATCTGTTCTGCTAGTAATTTATTGTAAAAGCTAAAATACTCATTCTAATTTCTCATCCAAGTCATATCAGCCGATGAGGAGTCATGTTATGCAGTAAAAGTCCTCTGCTCCACATGGTTGAGCATTACTAGGTTTATCAGCAGTTCCAAAGAATAGAGTCAGGGGGTCTGAACATAATCACAAGAAAAAATGATATTTTTATGGCCTGATTAGATGTATTTATCGTTTTTAATCACACTCACTTTCAAAACTCAGTTTCTTCCCAATCAGTATTCCCAACTAAGGTATAATAGTTTCGTGCTCCGCATCGGTTGAGCAAGGTGTACCATTATTGATAATGTTATCTGGTGCGTATTCCTTTAAACTAAGATTTTGTGAAAAGACGGAGATTCTACTGTAATGTTTACCCCTGGTTGAGACGAAAAATATGAGGATATTTCGACTGCTCCACACTGGCTGAGGTCCATTTTATGATTTGGCAGTGAAAATATTTTGCAATTAACGTCCAGGATCTATTTGTTAAATGGCGATCAAAATAGTCAAAAAGCATAGATTTTATTGGGGTGCTCCACACTTATTTGCTCCACATCGAAAACCAGGTCATAACTTTTGCTCCACATGAGATAGAAACTTCATTCCAAAGAATTCAGAAAATTCGGAATCTTCAGATGAAAATGATATCAGAAAGGATTAAATTGCTCTTTATCAACCTGCTCAAAAATTTAAATCAAAAAGTAAGCAAAATGGGCAAAGCAAAATTGACAATGACCATATGTCTCTTGAGAATACCTATCTGAGCACTACAATATGAACATTCGTTGCACTTGTAGGGTTTCTCTCCCGTGTGAGTACGTTGGTGTATATTAAGATTTGATTTAACAGAGCAAGTATATGAACATTCGTTGCACTTGTAGGGTTTCTCTCCCGTGTGAGTACGTTGGTGTATATTAAGATTCGATTTAACAGAGCAAGTATATGAACATTCCTTGCACTTGTAGGGTTTCTCTCCGGTGTGAGTCCTCATATGCGCTGTGAGCGAACTTTTCTGAGCACTACAATATGAACATTCCTTGCACTTGTAGGCTTTCTCTCCTGTGTGAGTATGTTGGTGTCTGATAAGACTTGATTTATCAGAGCAAGTATATGAACATTCCTTGCACTTGTAGGGTCTCTCTCCCGTGTGAGTCTTCATATGTCTATTGAGATCACCTTTCTGAGCACTACAATATGAACATTCGTTGCACTTGTAGGGTTTCTCTCCCGTGTGAGTCCTCATATTTTTCTTGTAGGCCGTTGCTGAAGATGTCGAAGAATTAGAAGTTTGGGAAAGTATTTGGCTTTTACAATTTCATCCTGCCAAGTGCAAAGTAGTGCATATTAATTTTAACAACAATCCTAATTTATTGTAAATTATAGAACTTAGAGTATCTGCAGGAGATTTGGTGCACACTGAAAGAAAATCTAAATTAGTATCCCAGTGAAAATCGTTATTAAAATAACGGAGGAAGTGTCAAAGTAAAGTTAAATTCACAGACTCATATCAGACAGTCTATACTTAATCCATTTGATTAATTTGAGCTGTGGTTTGGTCGTTTAAATTGTGGTTGAGCTGCACGCAAAACATTATTTGTGGGTACTGACCAGTTATAGGCTGGTTTTGCATTATTTGTGGGTACTGACCAGTTATATGCTGGTTTTGCATTATTTGTGGGTACTGACCAGGTATAGGCTGGTTTTGTATTATTTGTGGGTACTGACCAGGTATAGGCTGGTTTTGTATTATTTGTGTGTACTGACCAGTTATAGGCTGGTTTTGCATTATTTGTGTGTACTGACCAGGTATAGGCTGGTTTTGTATTATTTGTGGGTACTGACCAGGTATAGGCTTGTGGTGCATCTTACTGGTGATCACCACGTTGGGGATATGAGACTGAGAAAGGGAGGAGGAGAGTGGGTGAGAGAGAGGAGGGATGGCTGGATGTTGAGAGGGGCCGGTAGTGAGAGGAGAGAGGGGTGCTGGTTCTGGGATCATCATTGTCTGAGCTCCTTGTATCAGTGAGGGGTTACCCTGAGGTTTAGTTGTGGTTATTTGCTTTATTTTTAGTAAGGTCAAGCTTGTTTAAGGTTATTTGTGGGTCTGTTCATTGAGTACCGTCCGCTCATGAACACACTCTTCAAACCGCCCCAAAATCACTATATGTACGAGATAAAATATGAGAATAAAAACCTGAAAGTTAGCGAGAGAAGTAGCGACAACAGCCAGGTTGAAATCAGGAGCGGCAGCCTGGGAGAGGGTACTAGAGAGACTGGTAGCTAGACTCTGCAGTATGTTGTCGTGGGTTAGTTTCATGTCCTGCTGAATCTTAGGGTCCACCATGTTGGAACGGACCATGGTCGGAGGGTAACCTCTGAAAATATATGGGAATTAGGGTTTGTAGATCACAGAGAAGTACTGGACGAAAGAAATGATACATATGCACTGAACGAACAATGCTGAGTTTAAAAGTTATTGTGGATTTACTTTGTATCATCGATCAAAAGTAGAACAGTTAAATGGTGATATAATAGAAAACTCACTTATCGCCGTAGTACTGAGCTAGAATACTGGCATCAGCCGAAGAAAGGTAATCGTTCTCATCGAATGTGTTGGAGGGGACTGTCGAGAATGTTCCCATCACCTGAACCAAGTAAGAGATAAACAAATCTTAGAAATATTTCAATATTTAAAACATGTGTTTTTTGCTATAATTGCAAATCTCGAAAGTTTAGAAAGCCACAAAGTTCAGTGACTGGAAACTGAAACTCACTTGATTATTCTGATTGTTAGCGGGTGAATTCTCCGTTTCCATCTTCATCTGATTGTTACCACCGTGTTGGACATTTAGTTTCCCATCTCCATTATTTACATTTTGCATTCTACTTAGTCCCATCGTTCTGGCTGCATTCGCCATCTGATGTCGCATTGCAATGTTATTTATACAATCGTTTAATGAATTTACAATTTGACATGCTTTCATCTTATCTATAAGGCGCACGTTATATTTCCGCCAAAAGCACATCCAATTTGATACGTATGAAATATGTCTATAACTTCCTTGATTGTGCACTAAGTTGGCGTTGTGCGACCAAAATTGAACGGGGAATCGTTTAAGATCATTTTCGAGGCACGTCGACAAAAGCTTCTCACGCTATTGTGCTTTTTATGTAGATATACGTCAGTAGCGTTTTTGGGCTTGTTATTCTCTTTCAAAAGTATTCCAAGTGATTTGTATTAGTGTACATATTAACTCTGAATACATTTCAAAATAATTTATCTCGATTCATGAAGTTTGAAAGAAGTTACAGCAATGCGCGCAATTTGGGGAGTGTGCTTTTGGTGGAGATATAAACAGCGCCTATCTTTAAACTTTGAAAGTGCTATTTAAGTTTCATAAACGGACAAATTGTAACCACTTAAGTTCCAAAGTGAAAATAAATAAAGCGAATAAATGTATTCATACACGCCCACAGGCCACATCACTCATCCACACCATTAACCGTACAGATCACCCATATCAATTTAAATGCAAATCAAAGATTAAGTACAACCCAAGGTTTACAAGTTTACAAGTTTAAAAAAATTAACTTTATCACGAGTTCTCAAACAAAACGACGGCGAAAAAAATCTGAACTACTAGTACTAAGTGGTATTATAATAAAAAACAGTTCCTATTATCTAATGGACTTATCTATACTACTTAGTGTAACTAGTGTAACCCAGCCTTCGACCGGGATTTCACTGCCGCAGTTAAAAAGGGTAGGATTAATTACCCGCTGATTCAAACCCCGCATTAGGTGAGCAATTCTATTCGAAGTGCCCTCACGTATCCAATAGTATCTTAAACAATAATCTCATAATCAGTTCTTTCTCGTGGATAATTAAGTGATTATTAGGCCAGGCACCACATTTCATGATCACGAGTGCGCGGCTCCCCCTGTATCGTAGAAAATCTACACTATAGTGAAACGACGTTATAGTGAAACGACGATGGGGTCACGACGTGATACAATGAAGGAGCATTACACTACGTTTTCCACTAATTTTCACTAATTTTCCTTGCATATTGATTAAATTTATGTTACAACCAGTCCAGGTATCAAAAATGTCTACAAATTTCAAACATTGTGCTGCAACATCCTGTGTGATAACTGTAAAAATGTTTTTTACAGAACTTAATAAAACAAAAAATTTAATTTGTTAGCACATTTTACAAATTAAAAAGATATAAAACAATTTATAAAAATATCCCTTATATCTCGCTTGCAGCGCGCGACCGTGAAACAAGCTCGTTATTATATGCAGTACGTGTAGATTTCACATAATCATGTGCTTTTGCGCCAATGCGGGCGCGCTTGTTTCACTGCACAAGTAAAGAAACGCGTGCAGGGAGGCGGGCGCGCGCTACTGCAAGCGCAGGGGCTCTGGATGGAGCAGCGCGTAGACTCATGCCTGTGGTATTGTATGTAGTCATCGACAAATAGCGTACAGCAATTGAATGGGGGCGCCCCAGGCCGACCCCTGAGTCCGTTGATCGGATGCTCGACACAACCCCAGCCACGAGCCGCCTCTGAAAGAATTACACTTGAATTAATGTGTACCATTCCAATAAACTTCCATAGTTCAAGCTAAAGTAGATAATATAGTGATATCATAATTTGACAATTGCAAGTCCTTCAATGTGTCATGTAAGACAGACGACAGTTGCAGAAAAGGCTGCTATAAAAGGTACTGTTCCTTCCATCACCTTCAATCTTATTCTAGAAAAAAGTAATTGTTTTTTCTCTGATAACTTGATTGTAACTGTTATTTCTGCTGCATGTCACAGGAGGAGCAAAGTGCAAAGTTACTGGGCCGCGCTCAGCCTGTCATTCCGCCTAATCTCTATATTTATGACATGATAGCCTGAGGTCTCCAGGTAAAGTGCAAAGAAACTGCTAATAACTGCTACTAACTGCTACTAACTGCTACTAACTGCTACAAACTGCCATTAATTGCTTCACATAGCCATGTGCCTACGCGTACTGCGTGACGCGCTACTGCAAGCGAGAGGGCTCTGGTTAGAGCAAATTAATTGCTACAAACTGCTGCAATCGCGCCCACGCATTCTCGCGCCGTTTGCAGCAGTTAGTAGCAGTTAGTAGCAGTTAGTAGCAGTTAGTAGCAGTTAGTAGCAGTTTCTTTGCACTTTGCTCCTCCTGTGATGTGTGTTGACCTCTGCCAATTGCATCTCTTGATTTGATTGGATGTATCGTTTTCATCTTTTCTAGTTCTGATTTTGTAGCGCGATGCACTACTGGGTCGCGCCGCGCATCAAATAATTCTTCTCGGTAGATCGGCGAGATGCACCACTGTGCCTCACCGAGCTGCAAAGGATTGACATCGTGAATCAAGTTCTGATTTTAACTTTGTGTTATGTTTAATGCAACATTGTCTCCACACTTTGCTTTTTTATTTTAAAATACTGCTACAAATATTAAAAATTTATCTGTGCTTTAATTTATAGACTTTAAATACACAGCCCTAAAGGCTAAGATGAATTAATTTGAAACCATCTCTTGGGTATTATTGTTACAACCTAATTTTTGTCTAGCCACTGGAATGTATTAGACAAAAGAGTCAAACAGTATATATACAATAAATTAATTCAAGTGTTGCAATTGGCAGAGCACAATACAGAGGTAACGGAAATTATCCACTGCTACCAATATTATATAATATGAAATATCAAAAATCAAATATATACACATCTACTCCATCATAGGGGCAGGGATGAGGTTATAAGAGACTTCTGATAGTGGTTTCTCATATTTGCTGTCCATTTTTTTCCCTCTGTACCCTCGTAGAGCAATGAGTGTGGTTCTTAACATTGCGAATCTTATTCTTGTCCTCACATGTCTTACCACATCGCAATACCTCTCTTTCCTTTTCCTGGCGATGAGGTCTGCTAATCTATTTACAAATCGCTTACATTCTTTGGACATGCCTCCAGTTGTGAGAAATACAGCCGGGGTGAAAGTGGCCTTCTCTACGTTCAACACTCTCTCCAGGTACTCATCCTTCTTCTCCTTCTCGTTCTCTTCGTATACTTCTTGAAGAGTTTTGGTCCTGTTTGATAAGCAATTGGGGTGTGAAACCCTTATGTCAAGAAAGGTCTTATCAAATGGAGTCCAAACTCCTCTAGCAGATACGTCAAGCCGAGCTAGGTCACCTGTTATAGTCTTGGGGTTGAGGCAGTCACCCTCACTTACCTTCTGTAGCTGGGGTTCGACTTTCACATCATGACATACCTCACGAAGGAGATTTGCCAATGTGTCTCTGATGTTGTTGTGGGTCATTATCACGTAGCCCCCTAGCTTACAGGTGAGAAGGTGGTCAAGATCACTTGTTTTCCCACATCCACAAGTGATGGGAGTGTTTGGTATCCACCAGCTGTGTTTGGTATCCACCAGCTGTTACAACCTATCTATACACTGAAATTAGGGTTAATAAAATACAAAATAAAACTCTATAACTAACTATAAAAGATAAACCTAGACCTAGAACTAACCGGTGTTCTCCTGAACTATCACCAAAGGACTTCACAGGCTGGTGTAGCTTTTATAATGCGTAAAATTTTACGGACGAAATGATCCCAGGGGGGACTCCCAACCCACCGCCTCGGCGGGTAGTTGATACACCCATCACAAGCAAGAGCCACTTTGGTCTACGTCTACTTGCTGTGAGGTGTCTCAGCTACATGGGTTGGGGGTCCCCCCTTTTTTTCTTTTTTTTCTTGTTTAAAAAAAAATGTTTTTTGTTCCTGCTATCTTCTTCACAGGCTGGTACACCTACTACTCAGACCTGCTACTCCAACACACCTACTGTTGCTCCTTCCTCCTTGTGATCTCTTGTTCCTCTTCTTCTTCTTCTTCCCTTATTACATCAGCTATGATATATATATATTATTAACAATTAAACATCTTATAATATATATATTATAACAATTATAACAGGGGGTCCCTGCAATAGATATGCAAATGATAGGAGAGATTTTTGGCGTGTCTTACTTTGCCAGCCTTGTGCCAAGTCTCGCTGAAAATGCTCTTATCACTCATCGCACATTTTGATTTGTATCCACAGTTGCCAAAATTATGTTCAGATGTTGATTGTTGATATTCCTCACATGAAAATATACACAAGGCTCTGGCTTCAACTTACCTAACTGCTAACATGATTTCTAGTACTTCAAAAATGTATTTTGAATGTCATTGAATGTCGACTAAGATAGCAACTGCAGTTGTTTTTAATACTAACTAATTTATACTTGCAGGCATTACATGGCCTCATAGAATGATCCAGAATCATAATCTAAAACAAATTTTAGGTAAGTTGCTTTTATTGACACGGTTTAAAGGAAATAAGGTGGTAAACAATGGATTTTATGTTACATTCTTAGCATTATTTGTAAGAACTTGATCACTGTGCACGCAATTTTTTCCCTACTCTTGCCGGAGGCTAAAAGATCGTAGGGAATAAGTAATCGGGTTTGGATATATGAGGTGGCCCGATAGACCTGCGTTGTCGACAAAAGTCTGCTCCTTCGCAATATAGACCACTCCCCTATAATTATGAGTATAAAAGGAGGCTATTTTGCGTGCGCGACGCCAGTTATGTGTTAATTAATTACAGGCATAACAACCAGTTTTTGTTGCTTGACGACTGTTACACAGGTTTCCATAGGGTTACAATTTACTCTAATTCATTAATATAGCATATTAGTCATCTGAGCGGATCAATCATCAATATAAGTGTTACTTTAGTGAAACAAGCTTAATAAATTACGGAGTGGTAAAATTCAGCAAGTCAAAACAAATTAAATTATGATATCAGCTGATAAACTCGTGGTTGATTATTTAACAGTTGATCGACACTGAATGGTAAAAAGCTAATACATATTTGAGAACAGATGTTACTTTACATTTACATTCAAGAAGCAACTAAGATCAAGATTGCGGTATGCTTTTCAAGAATCCTATATAGTCCATGGTACTGTAGAGTGTCGAGTAAGCATCAAAATGTATTAGTTTATGTTAGATATAAATAATAACTAAGATGAGACAGAATATCTTATTACAGTCAATAAAGTTGGCATACGATGTAATAATATGACGTGACATGATACGCATCGTTAACACAAAACAAACCGTGCAAAATATGAAATGATCTACAACCAAACCACATACAGATTGACGGCGACACCTCAGATACGCGCAGAATTTTTCAAGTTCTGCACGCCTTATATTATGTAAACAATTATCATGTGACACATGCGCCAAACACCACTCTGGGATACAATATTTAAGTAGAACAATTACATTGTAGGCAGTAGGGAAATTTATCGTGCGTGGTGTTACCGCGAAATTCTTGTTCATTACCTATGCAGCCCCATGCCCAGTAGGTTCCCCTATTAGTCAAGGATCTGACGACATTCCCGTCTATATAACTTCCGCCCCGGGGTTTGAGACTTGGAATACCTCAAGGGACCCATTAGAAACAAATTTGGCTTGGGTAGAAATTTTGGCTATGGTGCAGTTTTGCGCAATTGACCACGCCCTTTTTTGGCGCTTTTGCAACTTTAGAATCAAAATAACTCCCGCTTCTAATTGGAATTAGAAGCTCAGCTTGGTTTTAAAGTTGTTCAGAATCATCACATTTAGGGGGGTAGAGCATAATTTTAAAGTCAACAGACATCGGGTTGTTGAGTTATGTGACCACACCCTTATTTACCCTCGCGAGTCGTGATTTTCACATTAAATACGAGATATCTCGGCTTCTGATTGAGCTACGTGCTCATCCTGGGCATTAAAATGTTCAGAATCATCAAATTGAGCAGGGTAGAGCACAATTTCAAAGTCCTCAGATGTCAGGTTGTTGAGTTATTAGGCCCCGACCTGTTTTTACGCTCTCGCGGGTAGCGATTGCAGCGCTTAAAATCAAAATAACTCAGCTTCCAATTGAAGTTAGGAGCAAAACTCGGGCAGAAAAATGTTCACAATCATCACATTGAGTGGGGTAGAACGTAGTTTCAAAGTCCTCAGACGTCAGGTTGTTGAGTTATTAGGCCCCGCCCAAATGTTTACGCTCTCGTGAGTCCCGATTCGACGCTTAAAATCAAAATAACTCTGCTTCTGATAAGAGTTAGGAACTAAACATGGGCATAAAAATGTTCAGAATCATCACATTGAGTGGGATAGAACGTAGTTTCAAAGTCCTCAGACGTCAGGTTGTTATTAGGCCCACACCATAGTATTTACGCTCTCGCGAGTCGCGAGTGGACACTTAAAATCAAAATAACTCTGCTTCTGATTAGAGTTAGGAACTAAACTTGGGCATAAAAATGTTCAAAATTATCACATTGAGTGGGGTACAACGTAGTTTCAAAGTCCTCAGACGTCAGGTTGTTGAGTTATTAGGCCCACACCATAGTATTTACGCTCTCGCGAGTCGCGAGTGGACACTTAAAATCAAAATAACTCGGCTCCTGATTAGAGTTAGGAACAAAAGTTGGGCGTGGAAATGTTCAGAATTATCATATTAAGTGGGGTAGAACGTGGTTTCAAAGTCTTCAGACGTCAGGTTGTTGAGTTATTAGGCCCCAACCTGTTTTTACGCTCTCGCGGGTAGCGATTGCAGCTCTTAAAATCAAAATAACTCAGCTTCCAATTGAAGTTAGGAGCAAAACTCGGGCAGCAAAATGTTCACAATCATCACATTGAGTGGGGTAGAACGTAGTTTCAAAGTCTTCAGACGTCAGGTTGTTGAGTTATTAGGTCCCATCTTATTTGTATGCTCAGGCGAGTCGTGAGTCGACGCTTAAAATTAAAATAACTCTGCCTCTGATTGGAGTTAGCAAGTCAACTTGAACATACAAATTTTTAGGATTATTGAATTGAGTGGAGTAGAGCGTGGGTTCAAAGTCATAAGGGATCAGGCAGTTCAGGCTGTTGAGTCACTAATACTTCTATTTATGATCTCATGTACTGATATCTGGATATTATCCGGTTGGAAGAGACAAGGACAAGTGCAAGTGAAACAAGGAAGTTAGGAGTAAGGGCAAATTTTCGGCGTCAACGCCATCTTCAGGCTCAAATTATTTGTTATATAGTAGTGTTGAAAGTTTTAATACTTTCAACACTACTATATAACAAATAATTTGAGCCTGAAGATGGCGTTGACGCCGAAAATTTGCCCTTACTCCTAACTTCCTTGTTTCACTTGTCCTTGTCTCTTCCAACCGGATAATATCCAGATATCAGTATTTCAATCATGAGACTAATAAACAGCGAACTACTCCGTTATTTGATATGATCTCATGTATCGAGTTCTAATACTTCTATTTATGATCTCATGTATTGAGTTCTATTTTTCTATTTATGTTTGACAAACTTACGTCGACCTTATACGATAAATAATGTGATTATTCTTTCTTGTTCCTGGCCAAGATGAATTGCTCACAACTGTGATGGTAAAAGTAGTTTGAAAATTAAATTAATAACCAGAAAAAGTAAGTTTCGCCCAGAGCAAACAGTGAATACTCTCTAAATCCCGTACAACCACACTCTTTCCCACTCAATGTGATAATTCTGACCATTGTTATGTCCATGTTTAGTTCCTAACTCTAATCAGAAGCCTAGTTATTTTGATTTTAAGTGTCGACTCGCGACTCGCGAGAGCGTAAAAATAGGGTTCTGCCTAATAACTCAACAACCTGACGTCTGAAGACTATGAAACCACGTTCTACCCCACTTAACATGATAATTCTGAACATTTCCATGCCCAATTTTTGTTCCTAACTCTAATCAGAAGCCGAGTTATTTTGATTTAAGTGTCCACTCGCGAGAGCGTAAAAATAGGGTTTCGCCTAATAACTCAACAACCTGACGCCTGAGAACTTTGAAACCACGTTCTACCCCACTCAATATGATAATTTTGAACATTTCCATGCCCAAGTTTTGTTCCTAACTCTAATCAGAAGCCGAGTTATTTTGATTTCAAGTGTCCACTCGCGACTCGCGAGAGCGTAAATACTATGGTGTGGGCCTAATAACTCAACAACCTGACGTCTGAGGACTTTGAAACTACGTTCTACCCCACTCAATGTGATGATTCTGAACATTTTTATGCCCATGTTTAGTTCCTAACTCTAATCAAAAGCAGAGTTATTTTGATTTTAAGCGTCGAATCGGGACTCGCGAGAGCGTAAACATTTGGGCGGGGCCTAATAACTCAACAACCTGACGTCTGAGGACTTTGAAACTACGTTCTACCCCACTCAATGTGATGATTGTGAACATTTTGCTGCCCGAGTTTTGCTCCTAACTTTAATTGGAAGCTGAGTTATTTTGATTTTAAGCGCTGCAATCGCTACCCGCGAGAGCGTAAAAACAGGTCGGGGCCTAATAACTCATCAACCTGACATCTGATGACTTTGAAATTGTGCTCTACCCTGCTCAATGTGATGATTTTGAACATTTTAATGCCCAGGATGAGCACGTAGCTCAATCAGAAGCCGAGATATCTCGTTTTTAGTGTGAAAATCACGACTCGCGAGGGTAAATAAGGGTGTGGTCACATAACTCAACAACCCGATGTCTGTTGACTTTAAAATTATGCTCTACCCCCCTAAATGTGATGATTCTGAACAACTTTAAAGCCAAGCTGAGCTTCTTATTCCAATTAGAAGCGGAGTTATTTTGATTTTAAAGTTGCAAAAGCGCCAAAAAAGGGCGTGGTCAATTGCGCAAAACTGCACCATAGCCAAAATTTCTACCCAAGCCAAATTTGTTTCTAATGGGTCCCTTGAGGTATTCCAAGTCCCAAACCCCGGGGCGGAAGTTATATAGACGGGAATGTCGTCAGATCCATGACTATATCAAGATTCTAAAAAAAAGTGCGATGAGATTGGATTTTGAGACTAAAAGTGCGATTTTCACGTGTCACATGCAGTGGCGAAATGTACTCCCCCACCCCCCACCAGCCTGCAAGATTTCTTGCCCCACAAATTATTTTCTATTTAAAAAGATTTTGCGAGTCCCTTTGTAAGCGAAATTGTAAGTATGTCGCTTTATGTCGCTCGATGGTTATTTCTCAGAATTGTAAGTATGTCGCTGTTATTTGGATCCATAAATAACGAAAAATTTACGTGCGTATTTTTATGAAGTATATGATGTTACATATTGTATAACTAATAAGCCTCTCGTAGCACGCCGGTTTAGGGCGCGGTCGCTTAGCAGCTGACTCCAGTTCGAGTCTCGTCGACGGTCATTCTTTTGGCAATTATTAATTATTTTACTAAAATTATCATCAGAGCAGCTTGTAATATACATTATCCGATAAATTATACTGTTCGTACTTCAGCTAGAGAAGACTGGCATTTAAGGATTTGTCCTGGGAAGGCCTCGTTCACACTGGAACATGTCAAATTATGGTAAACAGAGTTATCTGGTAATGTTTGTTTTGTTTATGGCTAGAATTTAGAATGGAATCAATGTGATGAGGATCCAGAGTTAATTACCTGCTAGGATTAATAAGTCAGTTCTACAGTTGAAGAGACCCTTTTTCAAACTTTTAATGAAGAAATATTCACTATGCCTATGGCAGTATCAAGTATATTCTGAGAAAGATGGAGTCGACTGTAGCCAGGAACAGTACCTTGAGATTTTGACCGTTACCGGACTTCCTTTAATGGTAACCATGGTAACTATAGTAACCACTGTGAATCTTGATCTTATAAACCGAATAATATCGACAACAACTAGTATCCTTTAAGACTTAGAAAGTACAGAAAAGTAAGCCGTCAGAGTAACATAACCAGTAATAATTCAAAACAATCAATACCAAAAGTTCAATGACCATGAAAAGTCGGCTTGATGATAAAGACGAAATGGCCAGCAAGATGAGGAATATATGGGGCCGTTGCATGGTAAAGAAAACAAGAATAAACACACTGAAAAGCGATGAAAATGCAAGCGCGCGACCGAATATGTAGTGCTGAAAGAGGGTGCCGAAATCTTGTGGTTAAACTCGCGATTGCGAGGTGAGATTTATATCAAATCATCAAAATCTCTCAACAATTGAATATACTTCGCGCGCAGCGAAGTTGTTATACTATAACCACGTGATCTCACAATCTGATCTAAAAAAATTATGTGAAACGAATTTGAAATGACGAAGTTATCAAGTATTTTGTGTATCTCGTTAACAAAATTGACTGGGTGATTATGTGACACGACAGCCTTAACGATTCCCATAATGTTTAACGGGGTGGTTAACGGGGTCACCTTATCACGTGATTAGGTAAGCCAATCACCTGATCACACGTAATGAATAAACTCGTTATGCTTCGTATCTCGGTGATCTGAGAAGCTACAACTCTCATTTTTTCAGGACAAACGTAATTCGAACGGCCAAACACAATTCAATAAAATTTGGCTCGATCCGACTATCCAAACTATCAAATAAATGCGAGAATGAACCTTAATTTTTTTTAAATGAACACGAATATTTTTCGATTTGACAATTTCCTCGAACCAGTGGTAGTAGTAAGTCATACCAGAAAGAATTATTTCAATTGGGCACTCAGTGACTGAGCTATTCATGCCAGCGTATGGGTACTGACTTTTGGCCCACCCTGTATAAGCAGACCTTAACATTGATAATTGATTTATTAATTTCATGCTTGAATGTTTGTGTGATTCCAGCAATTTCTAAGTAAAACTTCATTACACATTTCAGGTGGAGGAAAGCTAGACACTTACAAAGAAAAAGTGAAATATCATCAGATTGTCGACTTAGATCAATTAAATGAAAAAGAGTTCGACCTATGCCTGGTATTTTAACATTATAGTTTTATCAGATCCTTTTTTGAGTTGAGTTTATTTTTTTATTTCCACTCTAATGGATTGTAAGTTGCAACATCTTTACAATTTGCACTTAAAGCATAGTTTTCACTGACTTGCATCTCTTATTTAAAATCTCTTTAGAAAGAAGTTCTAGTCACACGCTCTCTTGGCTGTAAAAATTTGGCTCAATTTCATGAGATTGCTTTGAGAGATATGACTCTTTGTTCTCGCTTTGGATCCTCTAGTTTTGGTATGTTCCTTCTTTGAAAATTTGATTTATTCTATAACATTGCAAACATTAAAGTTTAGTGATAAGTACCATCTTTTTATGAATTAGCATGCCAAAGAGAAATGATTTTATAGGGCACGAATTCTTTGACACTTTACATAATTATTATTATTGAACGTAATTCATGCTGTAATGTGCCCATTTACAGCGAACGGCACATGCAGAGATGTGATTGAAGGAAACTATAAACTTAGCGAAAGTGTTTTATATTTCGTGTTAGATGGAATCCTCAATGCATTGCATTATCTTCACTCTCACCAAATAATCCACAGGTAAAATATTTGTAAACTTAATTTATATTGCGCCTTATATATATACACACCACTAATTTAATGCATGAATTAAGTGTGGACACATAAACATACTAACAGCACTTATCACAGGGCAATCCAGGGAGATAACATCTTGTTAGGTAACCCCGTCCTTCTGAAGGGACTTCAGTACTCTGCACACCTCAACAACCACTCTAAATGTCACACCTTACCTCCCGGTTTGGAAAGCAGATTACCCTGGTCTTCTCCTGAAATGATCAGACAGGTTTAAATATCTTTGCTTTATCTGGTTTGAGAAAACAGGATCGCTATGACATTTCAGTATTGTAGATCTTCGAGTTAGTTCCTTTGTTAGATCTTGATATTTCTTGATCTTAATTATATTTGCACTTAGGACCGTGGTGGTTACAATCACAAAACAGATTTGTACAGTGTTGGAATCACAATTCTGGAGTTGTTAGCCGGATATGCCCCTTTTGAAGGGTTCCCTAATACAAAGGTTTGTGACTCATTTTACGGTGGTTTTTAATTTACAGTTACATTAAGGGGGACCTAAGGGACAATTCACATAATTAGCCAGGTTTTAGCCATTGTAGATTATAGAGCCCTCTCACCCTCAATAACCACTTTACACATACCTGTTGTGTTGAAATTACCCACTCCACCCTGTCTTACATTGTATGTGAACGGTCCCTTAATAGTAAGGATCACTGTCTTATCTTGAATCTTGAAGGAATCGAAGATCCTGGTAAATGGATGTTTCTATTTATACTAAACTCAATATTGAGTCAATAAAATATCCATAATGATGAAAAGTAAGGAACTCAGGAACTGTCAGTTAATCGAGGTTAACGGCATCTGAACAAGTTTTAACATGTGACATATTTCAGATATATTTGATGAAACTGTCCTCTCAAACCATGCTTCCCTTCAGCCGCGGATCTGGGCCTAGTTCTATCTCAAAACGTCTAGTCAGGGTAAACGTTTAATTTCACTCTAATCATGAGTTATGATAACATGGTTATGTGAACATGTTAGTGTTGCAACTTGCAGACCATGCTCTTGAGAAAATAACCCTTTTCCAGAATAGAATCACATATATTTGTCTTACTTGAAGTCAGCTGTTTTATTAAAATTATCATTATTTGGAACACAGCCAAAAGGAAGGTTTCAGTTATATCATGATTTTCAGAACACGCGACTTTTAAGCATCGACCCATTTAAGTAAGCAGCTAAATTTCCACTCTGAATCTCGTTCTGTCCGTCTGACGTTACCCAGTATTTCTTGACAGAATGATGAACATATTCCTGTTCCTTGATTTAATTAACTTGGCAGGTTATAGACAAGTGTGTGCAGTACGAGCCTGAAGATCGTTACGACGCACATTCCCTTCTCAAATCCTCTTTCTTTTCTAAAATGAAGAGCAAATCTTCGGACTTTAACCTTGAACTTTTTGACAAATACACTCAAAATAGGAAATCTGACGAAAAACTTAATAAACATAGCAATCACCTGTTAGATAAAAGTGATATCAATAACTTATCTTGCGATTGGTTATTTTAGATAATTTTAGATTTAAGTTATGTAACGTGTTTATTGTAAATATTTCCTTGTACATGCCACACTTTGTAGCCTGGAGTTCATTGACTTGTTTCTTTAGAAACTTATAAAGGTGATCAGGGTAGGATATTTAATCAATTATTTTTTGTTTTATATATTCACAGTTGATTTGGCAGTGTTAGATTTGTTTTTACTAATAATTGTCCATTCAAAAATCGATTATTTATGTTTTTCTCGGAGCGCAAATTCATATAACCAAGCTAATAAACTTCACATGCTTTTCTTACATCAGTTATTTTGTTATTAAAGCGCTTATTTTATGTTAATTCTTATTTCTGAAAATAGCATCTAACTTTTCTTCCTTCGATAGTATGACGTTAGTAAAGGATGAGGGTCTGACAGTAAATTTAACAGAATTCGAGAAGTTGACGGTAAAGACCATCTCTCCACCCCTCGAGGACTATTTAAAAGCAATATCTAAAACGGGGGATACGTGGTGTGTTTTTTAGATGTTTTGAACGTAAACTTTGTGAGTTTAGAACTACTCAAGTAATTTGTAACTATTGTTGCACTTACCATTTATTCCATTCGCTCACCATTAACCTTCTCTCAGCTACAACTGGAACATAGTGAAACCGCTCTTAGTCTACAAACTAGAGCGAGTTCTGGATGACTTCATGGAGACAGTAACTGAGAATGGTGACGTTAGCGCCCCAACTCCCTCCGAGTTCACTTCCACAAAGGAAAGGTTGGCGGGACTATTGAACGGTTTTTACAGAGCTCCGTTCACTGTACAGAGACTCCTGGAGCTGCTACTCGAACCTAATAAACATTATAGGAAGTTTGATAAATATGCCCGAGGGCTGGAGAAGGTATGACATTTTATTACTCATTTTAAACGTATTTATTTGTCCCGGTGTCCATGCAGCTCCATCTTCTGCTGAAAAACTGCAAAATATTCCTGTTATGTGTCTATTATTTTGAATACACTACTAGCGATCACAGTGTGTTATTAGCCAACTCTTTGGCGAGGAAATGTCAATTTTATAATATTACAGCGGCCAAATCAAGATGATTTAAATATATGTCGGAGCGAGCAACTTGAAATTGAATTACACTCCATTTTTGGATTAACTCTTGGAAGATTGCATAATGCCCCCGTTTTCTGTGAGACCCCTGGCATGTGCTGTGTAACTGTCAAAAGGCTAATGTCGATTAAAACGAGACTGGCGAAAGTGTTGTATTCGGTAATTATTACGCAGCGCGCAAGGACAAATTTTAATGAAGAGAGTGTTTTTCGGTATAAAAACTGCGCGGCGTAACCGCTATAAAATTAACTTCACAATAAGTGACCTAAGCTGGGCTGGGTCTGGATAAATGCCAAAGATTCTTATCTTCATTGGTCCGTTAGATATGCACATAAAATATATTCACTTATGGCTAACTGTTACGTATTTCATAGAGGAACTATAACGTATAATTTACGTCATATATTTGACCCACGGCCCACCCTTAGCCGAATGTCCATAAATTAGATCCTAGCAGTGTTGTTTTGAAGAATACCGCCTTCACTGGACATTTTTTCAGGTGTTATCGGTGGTAACAACAGTTGATCCGTTCCCCAAGAAATCTCCCTCTCTCCTTCCCAACACAGTATTGAACGGAAATGGACTGATGAGGTAATCTCTTAATCTAGCTATGACGTCACAACTCACTACTCTCAAAGCGGTTTACACGCTCCTCCATTCACGTCATCTCACGTTTTAAAATATCTCATTCAGCATGCTTTGTGATACGAGTGACTTTAGTGGGGCGGCTGAGCCCTTTCAAAAGATCACTCTTGAACTCCACAAAGGTGTGTATCGCAATATCCGGAGATCGACCTTTTTTTGGTAAGATTGCTTCTTTTGTGGTGAAGGGTAGTTGACGACTTTATTTCCGCGTCAGCTTTTTGAGATTTGGAAATAGACAAAATGTGCATCGGAACTATTTTGATAACAGTGGAGCAAGCTTGCGCAAGGGTTGCAAAATCGAGAGATTCTACTTTTCAGCCTTATAAGAGCTGGATATATTGAGCACCACGTGTTTAAAATTTATCTAGATTCTTGATATTCAAATTCATGTTTTAACAAATGCATATTAGATAATCTACAAAGCTGCTACTGAAAAAAAATCGTGAAAATCATGCGATATTCGAATTGATGATCTCAGATTTAAGAGAAAGCTTGGATAGCTAAAGAGAGTATTTTCTCTGAATGAGTTGTTTTCTCTATCCATTCTCTGGGAATACCATCAATCCCGTACTTAGCCCCACACATAGCCCCAATAAAGAAGGCTCTGGAACAATTGCAGCCGCCTGCTCCTATCGTCTTCCTGACAGCCTCGGTATATGAGGTAGAAGTAACGGTAGCATGAATTGCTCCCTGAAATGATGAGGGATTGTTGCAGGCCGGTCCAAATTCTTGAATTACAGATCTGGAGTGACCCCACATGTTGGAAATGGCATCTTGGATTTCGTGGATACTTCTCGAAGCTTTGGGGTGCGATTCTGCAATTTCGTGTTTGATACTCATGATGTCGTAAGATGGCGATTCTATGAGATGATTTACAATTCTTGAAGCTGTCATTGCAAGTTGGGTCGCTGTTTTCCATGTTGTCATTGTCTGAATGACTTCATTTGAAATCATGTCAAAATTTGGATCTCCAGCGAATTTGAGTGATATTGGCAGGAGAAGACAAAATCCTTCCGTCGACCTCATCTTAGAGTCCCCATATGGTTTCTTATCTTTGTCACTTTCGTAGGCTTTGAGAAAATTGATAACAGCTCCATGGAAATACTTTCCCTCATGGGGTGCATCAATGTTTTTCGCCTTCAACTTTTTTGCGAACTCTGCAAAAACTGTTGCATCGTACCCGTTCGTGTTTTCTGGCCCAAACGATTTCTCCAACTCCTTGCAAATACTATCATAGTCATATGCACCCTTCTCAGATTTAGCTATGGCCGTTAAAGAAGCCTCTGCAATATCCCAATAACAACTATTCTCTCCAGTAGGCAGGGAGTAGAATGGACATTTGCTCTCAGGTAAAAATTCTGGGGTCTCCTTAACGTGCTCAATGTAGGTCTGCAAAGCTTTGTTATCATAAACCCAATGGAGTGGTCTAGCAGCTGCGTCAGCAACAGCTGCTCCGACAACTGCAGCTATTTTCCGTTGTTTGACCCCGTCTAATTGCTGTATCTGCTCAATAAGAGTGGATATCCTCTCCGATCTGCCCTTCTGCCCTGAGGTTTTATTTTGTCATGGTTAATTGTAGAACAAATGTATGAACTATAGAATGTCAGTCACGGGGCCCTAGGCTACGTTTATAAACATTTCATGAAATAGATTTAACCATGATCTATACAATTGCTTGTTTTAAGAGTCATCTTAGTTTTGTTTCTAAAATATGGCTGGTAAAGGTCACTTTTAACCCACAGCTTCTGACATGTTATATTTTTGTAGTCTAAAAAATACACAATACATAATATAACCCTTCATGCCAAACTTGGCTACTCGACAATTAACCAACTTTCTACATCACTTACTTTCGGCTTCTTTAAGTGCATTCTGAAGTGGTGAAAGGTCCGTGTCTGTGCATGCGACCTCTGGTGGTTCTGTCGATGATAAAAAGAAGCAAGAAATCAAACATACAAGTGCAAACATCTCAGCAAGAACGTACTGTAAAACACAAAGAGAAAATGTATCTACTTTATCTAAACGTACAGAAAGTGCGGTCGTCAAAAGTTGATTTGCTTATCTGTAAAGCTAAGTGTCACGTTACATAAATTGTGAAATACTGATAATTCAACTAATCTGCTGCTTAATACGATTAAGTGTTGCAACGATTAATTAAGTGTTCCTTGAATTTTAATAAATTCTGAGAAAAAGAGAGCTTCTGAAAGTTGATTACGCTAGGAAGAGAATGTGCAGATATAATATATTACATATAATATGTTTAAGAATGTAATCTCCTGTTACCTAGACGCAGCTACAAATGTACTATGTACTTCTTCTTTACAGATTAGCCTATGCTTAGGAACTGTATTTTAACAGGTTTACAGTTTTCTTTATCGAGCTGTTTATTTCAGAACTGTGTCTGAAGATTTTGGCAAAAAGCCAAAGCCATTAATGAACGGAGAAATGGAAAACAAACCGTAAGTTTGCAACAGTTAATAAGTCCATTGTGTTATTATAGTATTTTTTGGTAATATTCAGTATGTATGCTTACTTACTTTAACTTGTCAAGGTCTACTCAATCATTAGAGTGGTCTGCTCCAGTATAATGTACTAGTAGTGAAGATGTAAAACTGACAATTAGACACACACACAGTCACACACACCCAGCTGTAAGATGTCAGGAAACCGAGTCTTTATATTAACTCATCCCCAGGGAAGACTGTAAAAAGAGATCAAATGTCACCGAGGAGCGTTCTCCAAAACGAGCCAGGGTCCACGATAGTTCGGAGGATGAAACTATGATATCTGAGACGACAATGCCGGACGAGAACAGCCATCCAGAAAGTCAGGATATGGACGAAAGTGGGGAGAAACTCAACGGCTCCCAGCCCCATGAAGAATTATCAACAGCTCAGGTTTTTATTCTACTTGTTATTTTATAATATCAGTAAAATGATATTCAGTTAATGTTAAAGCTGTACCCGAATGTGTGCTCACTAGTTAAAGGATTGGTCGAAACTTGAAAAGTGGGTATGTTTTAAGCCTCCATAAGATTTAACTTCGTGGATTTTGCGTCAGAACTATGACTAATACTAAAATTATGATAATTGTTTTCATAAAAACATTAAATATTAAACACGATTTAACTATGTAAACTGTAAAAACACTGTTCCTGCTTTACCTACCGCTAATAATTCAGGCTGATTCACCGGATGTCACGGAGACTCCTAACTCGACTATAATGGAACCAGATGAAGTTCCTGCAGATTCAGACCCCGCCGAAACATTTCCCTCCAACAATCAGTTAGTTTATGAAATAAATGTGTTATTATCTCTAACTTCGCCTAGTACCCTGAATAAACTCAAATATTTGAGTTTTACGTTGTTTCAGGTGTTGTCTTCTTACCGGGTGCCTTTCTAACTGATAAACTGCTTTACGTTGGGCCTCTGGAAGTGAATTTATGAACCAAATATTAATACATTAAGACTGACAATTTTACGAGCATTCAATTACGCTGTTGAACTTCAGCAGGTTTGGTTTGATAAAGGTTCGGTTTGGTGGCTCTTTATTTCACCCGTTCATTAATAAGGACCACACAACCTAACCTATAACTGACCCTGCTTAAGTCCAGCAGCCTTATACACGCACCTCTCCCACCCAGTATCAGTTCAGGAGTAAAACTGAAAGATTATGGGCGGTCTCAGTAGAAGCTACCATGTGAGCTCGTCACAGCAACACGCCATACTTCAATATTAATACGAATCTACTTTCCATCACAAACTCAGCACTGCTAGTTTTCGGTGCTATTAAGTACCTCTGCCCTTGCAATGTATTTGACACCTCAATAAAAACCCCAATCAATAACAGCCCTCTCTCCCACCAGCACTAACGGAGAAGGGAGCCCTACAGAGGAGCAGGTGACCACCACATCACCCCTCCAAGAGGACCAGACTACACCGGACAAGGTGGACTCCTCCTCCCTCTCCGCCATCCTGTCAGATCACCCCTCCGACCACGGCAGGGAAGGTGGGTCCAGGGATATTTTCAATGTTTTAGAGTCAAACAATTAGCTCATATCACAATTAGCTCATATCACAATTAGCTCATATCACAATTAGCTCATATCACAATTAGCTCATATCACAATTAGCTCATATTCCAATTAGCTCATATCACAATTAGCTCATATCACAATTAGCTCATATCACAATTAGCTCATATCACAATTAGCTCATATCACAATTAGCTCATATCACAATTAGCTCATATTATCACTATCTGTTTTTGGAGTAGTCTCCCTACTCATATTGAATTAACAAATGCATTGTTTTCAGGATAAAGAAGATTTAGCTATAGAGTAGAGGGTACCCGCACTACAGCCCACTAAGACCGCACTTTATCAGGAACTATCATACAGGGACATAGTGTCTTTACACTCAATCAACTGTCGGTAATGTTGCACGGCTGCACGTGCAATAAACGCTCAACAATGTCGCGAGTCCGCCCTGCCAGCGACTCGTAAAGTCGTCGCGCGACCACTTGTCAATTAACAGCTTTAACAGTAGGAGGTTTAATTGTAGTTCCAAAACAAGACGCTTTGGGGTGGAACACGCTACGTTATTTTTGATAGCTGAACGGTTTGACGCCTTTATAATATGGAACTACTATTGAACCCTTCAACTGTAGTACTGTCTCTAAGACACAAGCTGAACAGTTTAATTACCTGTAACCTTTACAGAGCAACCAACTAATAGCGATCTGTAAAAACTGGGTTTTTAATGTGCCAACCGGAAAGTCATCCATTTCTGTTATAAAGCTTTGTCAATGTATCAAAACAGGAATCATCCGGATCATTGCGACCTCTGCTGAGTTCAAAGAGTCGGACCGGATAGCCTGTATCAGTTTAATCATTGTATTTTCTGTTGGTGTAACTACTGAACTATCACACTGTAAAACAGTTCCTTATCTCAACGTGTTCTTGAGTCTAATATCAACTCTAATAGTTCAAACTGTGAAGATCATACTAATACAAGTCTACAAATATTTCTCGCTTGAGAAAGGATGTTTTACAGTCTCTAGTTTTTAGGTAGGATTTCGTCCCAACATAACATCTTAAATCAAACCACCAAATATTCCTGTCAAATTGCTGCCTCAAAATGACCTGTTTTAACATGTCTATTTATTCGTAAAGTTGTTTAATATTTGCGAGAAAAATTATACGATGCTGTTTAATTGCGGAAAAGGTCGTGAACTGATAATATTAATTGATGGTTTTAAAAATGATGTCGATTGAAACTATTGGTAATCATGATGTAATTTTGAAACTAAGATGGTGACGGTTACAGTTAACCTCATTTTACATTTGAGACTCAGTTATGATAGAAGATAGACCGGTACCGATATAAAATGTTGAATATTTTATTATTTTTCAGTTTCTGAATTTATTTAAGACTTGCATCATAAACAATAAAGTGGTGTCGTACTATTGAGTAATTTTTGGTTTGCTTATCCCACAGCTGGCAGCGGTAGATTAAAATTCACAATAATTCAAATCGATGATGCCAACTCCTTGAAGTTGGGGTGGGCCTTGATTACGGTTGATTACGGTTGATAGGGGGAGGGGGTAAAAATTGAAAATATTGATTATGTAATATGTGAACGACCCCTTTTTAACTGTTAGTGAACTGACCCGGCGCGCGCTTATACTTTGTAGCAATTCAGCAATCGCCTCTGTGCGCGGAAAAGGATTAAATGCAATGTCAATATTTACCTGGCACGCCAGCCCCAATGCGCGGCCGCGCTTTTTTCTCGCATATACGTGAGACTGAGAGGAGCGAGCAATAGACTCTGACTAGCAGTAGCATGCTAGCTACAGTATGTATAATAAATGCAACGCGTATCTATTGCCGTTTCGTTACCTAGCTTGCTTGTTGCTAGTTTATTGCTCGCTTCTCTCACGTATATCAATATGCATAGAGGGAACTAACATTGAACATGGGCCATCCCAGTCTTATTATAAGTCAGGGTTATCGACAGTGAGCCGCGCGTGCCGACTGTAGGATGGTTTTTTAGCGCTAATTTCGGCCAGCACAAAATTCTTGAAACAAATGCGTATTGACTTTGAGTAACCTTCCCTTGAATTTGATCAAATTTTAACAAAAATTGGTTAGCTTACTCTCTCTCTGTTCTGGTCAACGGTTTCTGGCCTCTTACTAAAAAGATGGAGGCCTTATCACCGTGCCGGCGTACCCACAGAATGCAACTCCTGCTAGCTGCACGCCAGGACTCCCAAAGTAAATACGAAATCATAAAATAATAAATATCAATGCAACAGACCCCTGGAGTCTTGAAGCTGTCACTACCTGACTCAGAGCAAACCCACTTCCGTTGTAGTACTTCTGCGGGCAGACAAGGGACTTCCGAGCAAGGTCAAAGCCTGGGAGATATGTCTCTATACGGAGATGGGCCTAGGTTGAGTTCCTAGTATGGGATTTAGCGAAAGTTCCTGGTGAAGAATCCTAGAAGGTTACCTAAAAGGGTTTTCCCTATCCAGTCTTGTCGACTGTTCCACAAATTTGAAGATATGATTGTAGTTTACTGTTGTTAAGGTAGAGTTTACCAATTATCCTCATTTTGAACGTCATGATCTGGATGCACTTGCAGAGGAGGTGCTGGGATGTTTCTGCTTCCTATCTCCTGAAAAGTGTTCACAATCTTGCGTCTCGAAGTTGACGTTGTTCGCCACGTTTGTAACTGTAAGTTTATAACCTACCAGGACGCGCGCCGAGTTGGACTCGTCGACGGTAATTGGAACAAATATTTTACGAGTATCACCCGTTAACGCCACGTTCTGAAAATAAACTAGTGGGCTGTGACCTATCCTGAAAGCGACCATGTTAGCCATCAAAAAGTGGAGAAACTTGTATATATCCACCGTAATCTGCGCAATATCAGTGCATCTGACAATCGACTGGTGCAGATGCACGTGGTAGTTCTCTTTTACACTACCATATTAGTAAGATGCAGGAATGAAGAATTTTGTCATTTTTTAATTCGTAAACCTCGTAATGTAAAGGCAGACGCACGTAACGCACTTTACCGCACTTAAACGCACGAAAAAAACTTCACGAAATAAACGCACTTTTCCTGGAAAAGTAACGCACGAACCAACTATGGCCATTCCGGAGGGCAAAGAGAGAGACTGGGATATTTACCTTGGATACTGTGTTATGGCACTTAACTCGTTAAGAAACAGGCATTCTGGCTACTCCAGTAATCGCCTCGTCTTCGGGAGAGAGAACAACACCCCTATTTCTCTACTAGTGGATAACGAGATAAAGACAATTCCTATCGGTAAGAGCACTAAAGGCGCATTCGAACAGTACAGCTTGATGAAGAAAATCAACAGGAAAGTACGAGAAAATGCTGACGTAGACTTCCTCTACGTAAATGGTAAAGAACCAGCACGACAGAAACTTGTCAGGACCGTTCTTCTCAGCTGGAGACCTGTGTTATGTCCTCATCAATTGTCCCACCCACAAACACTCGATACGTTGGCGAGGTCCACTACTCGTCAATAAGGCCATCAATGATCATCTCTATGTAGTGGCTATAGCTCCGGGAAAGGAGAAAGTGATTAACATTAGTAAAATGAAACATTTCAAGAGGAATAAGTACAATACCGACAAATATCCTCAACTTTCTAGTCCATCGGGATCAAACAGTACACCTGACAACAACCTTTCCAGTGTCCCTCTACCAGCTTCCACTTTAACTACACTACATCCTACTAAGCACGTCACTTTCCCTTCTACATCGGACGACATTGACGAGGACGATCAACCCCTGACCCTACTTATTCCCAAGAAACGTAATACCGGAAGTGCCAAACAGCCAGTAACACTATTGGCAGATGATTGCCGCTCTGTCCCATCTCCTTCCAGCTCTACCGAATTCTTACCACCCCTAGAAACTCTGGCAGAAAGCAACAGTAGCACTGCTTCACAAGTTCCTGCAGATATAGAGTTACAAGTTACTGATTCAGATAACAGTTCCGTGATTTTCGACACCATTAGTAACGGAGACCCTGAACACAGAGAAAGTTATCACAGTGCTGGCAAGCACGACCGTTGCATTTATTGTGGGTATACTATGTTCCCCATTTACTATTATACCCCCTTTACTATTATACCCCCTTTACTATTATACCCCCTTTGGTACACGTTACAAGCCTCTTTCGTGCACGCGAAGCGTGCACTCCGGCAGGAGTTTTCCAGGCATTAAGACTCATCGGAAGTCGTTCAGCAGATTTATTTTTAGTTCAAAACATTCTAATTTGATGTCAAAGATGACAGGAATAAAAAATAGTTATGTTGAGATTTTTAAGAAATTTGCATAAAATACTCGCCAGCACTGTTATACGAAATTCGGTAAAAAACCCAAAATCGCCATATTCAGGTGCCTTAAAAACCATGTTAAAATTGAGTTAGAGATCTGAAATTTTTCAGGGCGTCTAGACGTTGACCAAATCGACTGCAAAAAAAGTTTCAGGTTTCAGGAGCATTGGGAAATGGGTTTTCTAGAACCCCTGTTTTACGACAGATTGTCGGGACATATACAGGGTGGCCCATAAGTGACTACCCACACGCAACCTCTTAATAACTCACGTAATTCGTCTCCAAATTGCACCAAAATTTCAGAGATTATAGATATGGGTCAAACTTAGATTTCCTGAAAGTTTCGTAAGCCACGCCCAATTACAGTGGGCGTGGCGTGACACTCCCTCTTTTTCACTATTGTCTTCATAAAATGAGAACGCTTTAAGCTAAGAACTCCAAATTTTTTGCACACATTTGGCTTGATAATTGAAAACCTTTCCCAAAGTTTCAAGTTCATTGGTTAAAATATGGCTAAGTTATGACCATTTCAAAACTCATCGGATACGTGATCCGAGCACTCAGTCAGTGATCTCGTAACTTGGTTAATGGCCTGTTTGGCTCACATGCACCGCTTGATTGGTTGCAGCCTGCTTATGGGCCGGCCTATACAGCTGACAGCACCTAAAACGCTATCACAAGAATTTATGGTGGTGTCACCATTTCAGGGCTTGTTAGCCCTGCTAGTCACAGGTTCCTTACAATCAATAAAAATGGTTCACTATCCTCCCTTTACTGCAGAACAACGATTGTTCGTCTACCTGAAGAAAGAAAATGGGGAGTTCTACCCTCAGATTAAACGACAATTTCAGATGAAATTCAACCGACCACCCCCTTGCCGGAAAAGCTGCTTTGACATTCATCACAAGATCAAGTTTACGTTTTCTGCACACGATCGGCGAAGAGTCGGCAGAAGACGAACTGCGAGGACTGTAGAAAACATCACGATGGTTGTTGGTGACGTGATGGACACACCTAAGATTGGCACCCGGAAACGAGCTCCTGCCTTAGACCTCAGCAGAACAACCCTTCAGCGAATCCTAAAGCAAGACCTTTCTAACCGGGCCTACCGAATCACAAAGAAACACAAACTTTTGGACCGTGATTTCCAATCGAGGATAGATTTCGCCAACACATTCCTTGAACATCTTAATTGAAATTATTGAATTGTTTTTGTGTGGGAATTTTTATTAGTTGATTTCATTTATTGATTTATCCTAAAAATTTGTGTTTTCCTTTCTAGCAAAGACATCATCGGTATCCAATCAAAGCCTAATGAACCTCATTAATACACGCTAACGCCTTACTCTTGATCAGATTGGGTGACGAGATCACTAATTGAGTGCAAATATCACTGACTGAGTGCTCGGATCACATATCCGATGGATTTTAAAATGGTCATAACTCAGCCATATTTTAACCAATGAACTTGAAACTTTTGGAAAAGTTTTCAATTATCAAGCCAAATGTGTGCAAAAAATTTGGAGTTCTTAGCTTAAAGCGTTCTCATTTTATGAAGAAAAGAGGGAGTGTCACGCCACGCCCACTGTAATTGGGCGTGGCTTACGAAACTTTCAGGAAATCTAAGTTTGACCCATATCTATAATCTCTGAAATTTTGGTGCAATTTGGAGACGAATTACGTGAGTTATTAAGAGGTTGCGTGTGGGTAGTCACTTATGGGCCACCCTGTACATACAGATATACATATATATTCAGGGATAGACGCTTTGCCAGTCAATTGTAGCCTGTATTTAAGTGTCCATAGATTCAAAAGTATAAAAGATACAGCCATTTCCGACCACAGGTCTTGCAAATGATTGTTTACACCTTAGTTTACATTGTATGAAAAATTATTTGACGTCATGAACACCCCTTGATGACGTCATCAAGTTAACCGTTTTTAAAACTTGATTTTTGACAAAGTAATAACTTTTAAAATTAATTTTAAACCATTAAGGAGTAATTTTATTCAAAATCTGAGGAAATTTTCATCTTAGATAATTGTTCAAGCATTCTGAAAATCTACCGGAAAGTTTTTCTAGCTTGCTCCTTCATAAAGATATTCGTCATTGAAGTTTGTGCTTTTTTGAAGAATTATTTTATAAAAACGTCAATTTTGCGATTTAGTATTCTCTGGTGTTGGGCCATGCCTTGGGTTGAAGAGCTCAGTTCTGCTTCCTATAGGTATAAATTGTGCATTAGGCTAGTTTTAAAGTTGGAAATCGAAAAGTTGCACACGTGGGGACACGCCCAAATTGATAGAAAATTGCTAAAATCACTGAAAATCACTGTTTTCGTCATTTTCTGTCAACTTTAGAGTGCCGTTGTGATTATAGTTCTTCTTGAAATACTTTGAAACTTTGCATGCTTATTAAACTATATATAAAACAATTACATGCAAAAATTTAAGGCGATTCAATATTGGATGCGCACGCAACGTTCGCTCAAAGTTTGCACGTGCGAAAGGTGACAATTTTGCTCATTCGTGATTTCCAACAAATTCTGCTTTGCCACGACAGTTTAATGTCATTATATATGAATTTAATGCCAACTTGAATGAGTATTAAGTGGCATATTCAGTCAGTGATCGACCGATATGCTTCCCTAAACACAAGGAAATGTTTTTAAAGGAAAAATTTCGAAATTGTTGAAACTTCCTCCTTATTAATGAAGATATCAGTTTATATTTCGACTTTATAAAGTACCCTGACATTATAATCAAAAAGAGATGATATTTTACCAAAACCCATAATCATGGGTAGAGTGGACCGCTGCCAGTGTCTCTCTTTCCCAAACAAAAGGAAATGATATTAATTTGATTGACCGTTCTCAAATGCAAAATGATACCGAGAATGAAATCGGTCGCTCGCTTTTCCCATTCATTTACAATTGTAATAGATTAAGAAGAACTACCCAAAGGCAGCTGTACTCGGCAATGAAGATTCAATAAACTTCAGCTTGTTCAATAAGTAATAACTACCACCCTTGTCCCTTACCCCGAAATACTAGGTATCTACCCGAACGCAACCCAAAAATATTTTTACAGCATCTGATTGATGTAATCAATCGAAACTTATTTATACAATTCGTAAGCCGTGACTGAATGGGAAAAGCGAGCGACCGATTTCATTCTCGGTATCATTTTGCATTTGAGAACGGTCAATCAAATTAATATCATTTCCTTTTGTTTGGGAAAGAGAGACACTGGCAGCGGTCCACTCTACCCATGATTATGGGTTTTGGTAAAATATAGTCTATGTAATAAGCGCCATGAGTTGGCACAGAATTTTTTGTCTCTGATTTTGATAAATTTGGTACCAAAAGTTGCCGTTATAACTGTGAATAATGAAAATTCACCGTGTAGCACGATTCGTTGAGATGTATGTGGGCCTCCTGTGCATTGCAAAAGTGTAATATGGACGAAAAATGGTTAATTTATTGCTTAAAATGCCTATAACTCCTAAAATATTGAATATTTTGAAATAATTCTTACAGAATCGTAATAAGTTTAATCAGACGCAACTTTTGATACCAAAATTATAATATTTAAAGCACCAAATTTTTCGAAAATTCTTTCAAAATTTTACACAGATTAAAAAATTCCTTTAAATCTTAAAACATTAGTACTAAAAGTTTTGTCTTGATGAGCTGATTACGATACCATAATAACTATGTGATAATAATTCAAAATGTGAAAGTTATAGGCCAAAAACTAAAAATTTGCGCGAAAAAAGCACGCGCGGCGAACACAGAACAGACGCCGTGTAGTATTTTTTCCGAAAATTGCTACACGGTGGATTTATTTTATTCACATTTTAGACAACTTTTGGTACCCAATTTATCGTAATCGGAGAAAAAAAGTTCTGTGCTCGCGCTTGGCGCTAGCTTATTACACTGACTAATAACTTAAGGGACAGGAGTACAATCAACCCTCCGGACACTTTCTCCTCTCACTTTTAGCGAATAGATGTCGAAATTCCTTTCCACTTTCTCAAATTCTAGAAAATGTTACTGTTCTAGAACATTTCCACCTGGCTAAACTTTGCAAATATTTAAGCCACTCATGCTTGAAAGCCATTGTGGGGATCGTGATCAGGCTGTTACTACTTTGGACCAACAATTAGTATCGTCTGGTTGGTACGTGTGTTCTCTGTCCTTTGTTGTTGTTTTAACCGCTACTTTCAGAAATTGCATGGAATGCAAACCTTCTTAGACTAAGGTAATGGAGTTGGTACTCATCAGGTCTCTAAGAAAGCCAACAGTGTGCTGATATGCACTGTCATATGTACTTCCTAGAAGCAGCACACGGCCCATTTCGGACTTGCACGAGTTATAATTATTAATGGAGTTGGATGCACGTCAAGAAAAGCCGCCAAATCGAGTTGGAGGTTCTACAGAAGTACAGAAGAGTTATCTAACTCTCAAATTGCTCTTCCACCCTCAGACATTGATCTGCCACCCACCGAATCAAAGGACTCATCTTCTTGGATTTAAGACTCACTGACCCTATTATTTAAAGAGAAATATGTAGACTTACGGACAGATAGATAGACATTTTGAGACATTTTGAGATCGGTTTTTGGGGGATGTCCTCACGGGTCTTAATAAGCCTTCAGCTATTTAGACCAGGTCCCGACTGTACTAGTCCCTAAATTATTTTAGTCCTTAAATTATTTCAGTCCTTAAATTATTTTATTCACATTTATTGTTGTTACTAAATGTGTTTCTTTCTTAGCCAACAAGCCTACAGCTATTGAGCTTTTAGATACCTTTAGTATTCATTTATAGGATTGTATGAGTGTATAACGATTTATTTTTTATGTATAAATCGTCTTCTTTTTATTTATATGGTCATGTGTTGCAGGTTGTAAGCTGATATTGATATATGTTTTAATTGTATAGGAGCTCTCGTCTCTTACGTTGGAAGAGAGCTGCCTGCGGGCCTGTGAGTGCCTTGTAACATCACGTGATCTCAGATCACATCACGTGATTCCGTGGCGTTACTTGACACGCGCGGCGCAGTCCTTTTCGGGGGTAAGAGAAGAGGGAGTCCTTTTTTTTTTTTTTTTTGTCGCGACACCCACTGACCACCGTCATATAGAGGTGGCGACCCTCCACTTGGGGAGCGTCCTACTGGAGTCCATCCATTTGCATTAAGCCCCTTCCCTGAGGGCCACTGGATGATAATACCTGTTAGGGTATCAGCCGAATCGGGGTTGCACCTCCGGAGATTTACTAACTTGGTCCCTAGAGAAGTTCTGGGTGGTTACCCTGGCCGCTCAACACCATGAAAGGATGACGCCCGTGCTGAGTAATGCTGGCTCTTGAGACTTGGTGAGGCATAGTTTGCTAATGGCGGTTGCTGGTGTGTTAACGTTTAGGTAATGTGATGGGTGGCGGGGAACTGTAACTTGTGGTGGCTGAGCTAAAAACAGTGGGTATGGTCAGCTGTATATATATCAGCGCGCGCATCACAAATGCTGTCAATTTTGGGTTTGAATGCGCTTGGCTCTCTGCGCGCGATCTACTAGCGTGTGGTTAATACATGTGTTCGCTGGGGTTGGGTACGTCTATAGGGCTGAATTGAGGATACCCTTGAAGCTATGTAAGTGTCGAAATGAGTTACGTGGGGAAGTAGTCGGATTTTGTTCTGCCTGTCTTGTTAATGTATTGTACCAATTTTTCAGGGCCAAAATTGCTTAAAATGTCCGAGAGTGAAATGTATGGGACTCCGAAAGTACATATCCTTACCATTGCAAAGGCCGGGCATTCGCTGATGAAGTGTTGAGCTGTTTCCCTTGCGGAGCCGCAGCGGGTGCAGAGGGGAGAGGAGGTGTGGTCGCGTTTGCTTAGATTATTCTTGAGCCAGTTCTGTCCGGAGCACATGTGTGTCGCCAGTCTGAGGTGGTTCTTTTCCCTGCAGGCTAATCTGCTGATGCCGTATCTATTAATATAGCTCTCTATCGGAGTCTTGGATTCCTCCTTCATCCCGTGGTTTTTTAGCTGGAGGAGGGTTTCGTTTTTCGCTTTATTGAGTAGATCGGAGATCACGTTACTCCAGCTGATACAGAGAAAGGGTTCAGGGCCAATTGGAGGTTGGCTAGCTCCTAGCTTAGCAAGCTTGTCGGCTCTCTCGTTGCCAACTACACCTGTATGCGCTGGCACTTTATATAAGAATATATGGTTCTGTTTACTTAGTTCAATAAGGATACGTGCTGTATCGATGGTGAGTTTGGAGGTTGACTGGCCTTTTTTTAATTGAAGAAGGGAGCTTAGCGAGTCTGAATAAAAGTTTATTACCTGGTTGGTTGTGTTTGCTTCATTTAGGATTTCTGCTGCTCTGTAGATTGCAAACATTTCGCTCTGGTTAATAGTAGCATGTCTTCCCAGGCTGATGGATTGTTCAACTATCGTCCTGCCATTCCTGTTCATTGTGAAGCCAGCTCCAGTGAGTTGTGTCGAGCTTTTGAGCGATCCGTCCGTGTAGATTTTAAGTGTTGAGTCTAGAGGAGGATCCTGTGGTAACTTAAGTAAGACTGTGTACCCAGTATTATTGAAATAGGTAGCAGTTGTGCGATCTAACAATGGTAGTTGGTTGGAGATACCTAATTTACTGGTTTCTTGGTCTAGGTATTTAGCATGTGAAATGATTTTGCTGGACAGTGAGTATTGGCCGATCCAGTTATTCTCTATTTTTAGTCTGATAGTTGTTTTAGACGCATTAAATTTGAGATGGACGTCGATAGGCATAAGGCCAGATAAAACATCTAATGTTAGATTTGGTGATTTCTGAAGGCCTCCAGTTATGTAGAGGGTCACCATTTTTTGAATAGTGCAGAGTAATTTCCTTAGATTAGCGTTCTCGCTCAGTCTGTGGATCCAAACGAAGCAGGCGTAACTGATGGTGGGAAGTATGACTTGTTTGTATATCCATCTTATCCTCCCTGGAGAGAGGCCCCAGGTTTTGGCGGTGAAGTTCCTAGTCATGTGTAGGAGTTTGGTGGCTTGTTGGCATTTGAGTTTAATGTGAGTGTCCCATCGCAGATGTTTGTCGAATGTTACACCAAGATATTTCACTTCGTCTGAGAAGTTCAGTACCTCGCCATCCAAATAGATGGGTTTCATTTTGAATTTCTTTTTTAGTCCCGAGAAAACAATAACTTTGGTCTTAATTGTGCTGAGTTTAACCCCGTTATCAGTGCACCATTTGCTGATAATTTTGAGGTATCTGATCGCTATATCTCTCATTGTGGCGCTCAGGTCGAATCCCGGTACTAGAATTGCAAGGTCGTCCGCAAATGCCTGCAGAAAGTCAGGATCAAGTTGGTCCATAGAGAGAAGCGTGTTGAGTGTTAAGTTCCATAGTAGTGGGGACAAAATACCGCCCTGTGGACAGCCCTTTGAGATCTTCTTGGTGATGGATATGCCATGTAACGTGAGGATAATAGATCTATCAATGAGCATTTCTTTGATCCAGAGTGCAATCATGGGTGGTATTTTAGCTTGGATCATTGCGTTGTGAATCGAGCTGAACTTAATATTGTCGAAGGCTCCCTCTACGTCGAGAAAAACCCCTAGACCATATTGTCCATTCTGAATAGCGTCTTCTATTTTCCTCGTGAGTCTGTGTATCGCAGCCTCAGTGCTTTTTCTTTTCCTAAATCCGAACTGGTTTTTTGTGAGTCTTTTATCTACGCCTGTATTTCTTTCAAGGTAATCAAGTATGATTCTTTCCATGAGTTTCTGCAGGTTTGACGTGAGGCTTATTATCCTAAAAGCTCTTGGATTGGAGTAGTCGTCCTTCCCCTCCTTGGGTATAATGATGCCTTTGCATGTTTTCCAGCTAACTGGGCAGTAGGTGTATGTCATGCATTGTTTGTAGATGTGTTGCAGGGGGTGTTTGATCAGATCCCACGCTGCTATCACCATTTTATTTCTTATATTGTCCATTCCTGGAGCTTTATTTAGTGGCAGTGATTTTAGGACTCTGTCCATTCTTGTTCTCGAGGGAGTCCTGTTCTCTCGTGAAGTTTTTCGAAGTCCTTTCTTAACAAGTTTTGTAGATTTATATTTTTATCAGTTCATCTGTTATTATTTCAATCGTATTCGTTGTTCCCTGTTCTCAAGAAATATAGAAGCTACACTCTATATCCAAATTTAACTAGATTGACCTACTGTTAATCTAGTTCCATAACGTCTGCAAATTCTGAATTCGTCATATAAGAAGTCGCCTCTGTGACCGTATTCGACCAGTGTGACCACTTTCCACTTAAAGACCCTTTTTCCACTCTACAACAATAAAGGTGAAGCTCTGAGTTTTGAGTTTTGACTGATGATCACGCGTGTTAAAGGATATATACTAGCTGGGTACGGTAAATCTGGGTACGGTAAATCTGGGTACGGTAAATCTGGGTACAGTAAATCTGAGTGCGGTAAATCTGGATACGGTAAAACTGGGTGCAGTAAATCTGGGTACAGTAAATCTGAGTACGGTAAATCTGGGCATAACGCCATAACTGATGAGCAGTTAACGAAACTCCGCCCCCTCGAGATTAAAACACAAAATCTTAAAAGCAGTTTGCGATAATAACTGATACAAACTATTTATATCGACTGGTTATTAACAAAAGGCTCTTTAGAGCGACAAATTATTCCATTGAAACTAAGAGTTGCAATCTTGAGAGAGTTATATTTGATAGATAAGTCAAGCTCCGAGCTTCAACGAGTGATGAGTTATTTTGTGTACAAACGACACAGTCGTAAAATATAAATACACGTATAAAGTTTGACACATTATAGTTATACTAAAGTTCGACAAGTCCTGAAGTTTTACTCTGTCGGACTACAGTGTAATAAACGGATTAAACGGATTAATTGATTAAACGTTAATTGGTCAAGAGAAGCCATAACACTCCTGGCTTGACAATACAAGAATGAAATCATAACATAGAAATAAGATACGAAAACCGTGAAGAAACAAATAACATAATTTAAGCTAAGTCTCTCGGGAAACGAAGTGCATCTATATCAACTAAGAATTTAGCAATCTCTTTTAAAAGCTTTGGTTGAGTGAATATGAGATCCATTCCCTCGAAGAGGTTGGTTTTAGCTTCAGGGCTAAGGCAGTCCCTGTTGTCTTGGTAGAGGGGGCAGGTTCTAAGCACATGAACCTCATCTTCAATTATGGGATCAAAGAAGGGTAACTCTGCCATGTACTCCAGAGTGTTCTTGTCCTTAGTGGAACATGTAGGACAGATACGATTTAGGATGTTGTTTCTTCTGACTTGTCCATGGCGTCCCGTTTCAATTTTTAGGCGGTGAGAGCTAGTCCTTATTTGGGCTAGTCTTTTTGACTGGTTATATGGAAGATAGAGAGAGAGGTATTTTTCACAACCAAAACTTGATTTAATCGAATTGTAAAATCCAAGTTTTCTGTTGAGCTGTCTCTCTTCATCCCATTGCGTTCTAAAGCAAGAACGGAGAACATCTCGTTTCTGAATGATATATATGACAAATAGACAGTAGTTCGATAAAATAGATAAAAGAACTACATTCAGAGTAGGCTGATCAACAACCATCAGAGCAACCTTTGAAATCACTTAACTTTAAATATTTACCATTAAAATCAAAATCAGTATTAAATGTACACAGAACGGTCGAAATCTAATTACCACCTTTTAACTGCCAGCTAAGTCAAAAAACAAATAATT